TTGCCGTCCAGGGGGCAGGCGTGGATGCTGACGCTGCCGATGCTGTGTCGGAGCTGCTGTCAGTGCTGGCGTCGGTGCTCGCGCCTCAACTGACGTCAGTGCTGACTGCGACGCTGACGTTGGCGCCCGCGTAGGCGTAGGCGTGGGTGTTGCCGCTGGCAGTGCTCGCGTCGACGCTGTGGTAGGTGCTGCCGTCGATGCTAGCGTCCATGCAGCCGTCGAAGCTGGCGTCAATGCTGGCTGCAACTCTGGCGTGGGTACCGGCATAGGCGCAGGCGAGGGAGCTGACGTCGGCGTTGCTGGCGTCGGGGCTGTCGTCGGTGCTGGCCTCGCTGCTGACGTCGAGGTGGATGTCGGGTCTGGTGTCGATGCTGACTGCGACACTGGCGTCTGTAGGTCACCATGCTTCGGCGGGCCTGAAGGCGCCGCCGAGCGAGTGGCCATACAGGGAGCACAGGAGTGGCTGTTACTCGTGCTGGCGTCACTTGCGGCCGAATGCCGATGACAGGATCCTGTGTGGGCGCTTGCGGGTGAGGCCGCCGATGGGGCGTATCGCAGTGGGGTGTGGATGTAAGCATGGCCGCTGTAGGCGTGCAGACGTGGCTCCCTCTGTTTACGCGGGTCCGCCAACAATGATGTTGTGGGCGTGGTCGCTGTGGACATCGGAGCCGCCGCTGGCAGTGCTGGCGTCGCTGCCGTCGATGCTGACGTCGGAGCCGGCGAAGCTATCGATGCTGACGTCGGAGTCGGTGAAACTGTGGGCGGAGCCGTCGTCGCTGCCGTCGATGCTGCTGTCGGAGCTGGCGATGCTAACGATGCTGACGTCGGAGCCGGCGATGCTAGCGATGCTGCCGTCGGCGCTGGCGATGCGAACGATGCTAACGGTGCTGCCGTCGGAGCCGTCATCGCTGCCGTTGATGCTGCCGTCGGAGTCGGCGAAGCTGTGGTCGTTGCTGCCGTCGATGCGAGCGTCGATGCTGACATCGGAGCCGGCGTCGGTGCAGCGTCGTCATGGTCGTCGTGGTCGTCGTCGTCGTCTCCTCCTCCTCCAGCGGGGCGGGGCGAGGGAGGGGGCGGGGATGGTGTCGAATCTGTGCCCCCCGCTGGCGTCGAGGCTGACTGCAGTGCCGTCGTTAGAGCTGGCTTCGGTGCTGTCTGCGGTGCTGGGATGTGGTCCGTCATGGACGTGGGCGTGGGTGCTGCCGAGGACGATGCTGGCGTCGATATTGACGTCGATGCGGGCATTGGCACGGACGCTGGTGTGGACAAGGCGGACGGGTCATGGCATGGCAGGGCGGCCCCACTGGCGTCAGGTGCGCCTGAAGACTGCACCCTCGCCAGCGGCCCTGGGCGAGGCGCCAGGACAGAGGATGTTGAAAGGCTCATCAATGCAGGTGCCGAGGACATGACATATCGTGGCATGGCGGCCCCAGCAGCCGAAGGTGCGCCTGAAGACTGCACCCTCGCTGGCGGGCGCGGGCGAGGGGACAGGGTAGGTGATGACGGTGGGCTCGTCGGGGCTGGTGTCAATGCGGTCGGCAGTGCTGGTGTCGATGCTGAGGTCGATGCGACGACAAGCATGACGGCGGCGAAAATGGTGGCCCGTTTGGGGCGGCCCAGACCCGCCGTGCCCTTGGAGCCGCAGGCGGTGCCGATGGCGCCGAAGATCATGCTGCCGACCTTGACGGCCCTTTTAGGGTGGGCTGGACCCGCCGTGCTGGTGGAGTCGACGATGTTGTTGACGACGCTCCTGGTGCCCGTGCCGATGGTGCGCAGGACCGCGTCGACGATGCCGAGAACTGCCGAAAGTGGGGCCGAGGACGCACCCGAAGTTCAGCGGGATAATGCCGGGGAAGGTGAGGGCGGTGCTGGCGAGGCCGCGGAAGCGCTCCCGGGGGGGGGTCGGGGTCCGGCTGCTTGTCGCGCACGGCGCGACGACGGCAGGCGTGGGACCAGCCCGACCGCTCTCAGCACCGTCTCCCTCAGCAGTCGGGAGCCCGACCCCCCCCCGATTACCTGGCCGTAGCGGGGTGGGCAAGTGCTGGACGAAGTCGTCGGTGTCGGCGTTAGTGCCGTGTGGGTGAGCGTGGTGGTCAGCTCGGTGCGCGCGCAGCTCAGCGCGCAGGTGGTACACGTCGTGCTCTAGAATGCGGAGATCTTCGTGAAGATTCGCTCGAAGCACGCGTGGGGCGTGGCCAGGTGGTTCAGGAAGGTCGCGCCCGTGCAGGACGGGCACGTAGATGACAAGGTCCTGGTGCCTATGCTCGATGAATTGGCAGTGGCATTCTCGAAGCGGGCCAGGCAGTAGCTGAGGGTGAAACGAACTGCATGTGCGGGCATTGCGGCGCTGGGCTGGTGGCTCCATGGCGGCAGTACCTGCGTAGACTTGGGATGGGGTAGGAGGCATCAGCATGACAGTCTCGCCGCGCGAAGGCTGCCTCCTGGGGCTCGCTCTGAGTGGATACTCTCGAGCCGAGACTAGAGAGAGAGAGAGAGAGAGAGAGAGAGAGAGAGAGAGAGAGAGAGAGAGAGAGAGAGAAATGCGGCGCTGAGGGCGCCCGCGAGGAGGAGGGGCGCAGGCCTGCGCGCGCGGGGCGCCCGCCTGGGGAGGCGCGCGGAGACCCTCGCAGCGCTTTGCGCGCGACCGTGGCCCAACGGCTTCAATTTGGCCGCCTCGCAGCGCGGCCGACGCTCGGGCACGGCTAGTTCCGCTCGGCCGAGGGTTTTCCCGCGCCGCGGCGCGCCGCCAGCGCCGCGCTGCGGGCTGCTGCCGCCCCCCCCCCGCCGAGGGCCTCCAGCGCGCGGGGCGCCCGCCCCCTCGCCCGCCCTCCCCCGGCCTTCCGCGCCGCCTCGGCGCTGCCTCGCTGCCGCCCCTGGCGCGCAGCCCCCGCCCTGGTGGCGCCCAGCAGCGGGCGCTGCGTTAGCGTGCAATTTCCCTTGGCCAGCGCGCCTGGTAGACGCGGGATTTTGCTGTTGGCTGTCTGAAAAACTGGATTCCTGCATTGTGCCAACCGCATGTTCGACGTCGTCACTGCGACCTCGCAGTGCCCGCGGGCGCGCCCTCGCCGCGGCCCGGCTGCTGCCGCGGCCGCCGATGCCGCGGCTGGTCGCGCCTGCCCTCCCGACGCGGGTGTCTTCCACGTCTGAGTAGCACCCCTCCTTCCTCGGATTTCCGCGCGGCCGTCCTGGCCCTTTTTCCGTCTCTTTCGCGCCAGCCGATTCGCCATTCGGTCGCCCCGAATCGCCACCCCATAGAGCGGCTTCTCCGCCTCGCCACTCACGGACAATAGTGCCTCGTCCATGTCTGAATCCTGCATGGTCGCGTGGCCGATGTTGGTCGAGTGCTCGTTATAGTCCATTGCGCAGCAGTCGGCTGCGGAGTTTGTAGAGCATTGGACTTGTGCATATTGGGCGGTAGCGCTTGTGGGCGAGTCAGATCACCTGAGTTGGGAGTAGTCGTGACCCTGTTGTTTTGCCGATTTTCCAGCGTGGGGACATTAGGTTGCATGGCCGCGCCTTGCAATTTCAGCAGGTGTTTGACTTATGCCAGGTCGCGGGGCATTTCAGCGTGGGCCCCTGCAATGTTGGGCGCCTGTCTCTGTTCAAGTTACGATATGGCTGCGTTGAGCTTCTCAGTCGCAAGAAGTGCGAGGTGGTGCTGCGCGTCGCTTGTCGTTATTGGTGCGGCGCGGGTGCTGGTGGAGTTGTGTAGTTCCTGGTTGAGCGCAGCGGAATCAGTGGCGCTGTCTTGGCGCTCGGTCTGTCTGATGCCGTCGTTCCCCATTGTCTTTGCGACCGGCGCCCTGTTCCCCCAGCTTTTGACGGAGGCAATGCCGTTGAAATTCGCGTGCAAATCCGAGACAATGTCTATCCAGCCCCTCCGGTAAGCCTGCGAACCCAGCGTGGCTGCGCCCGGGGCGCGGCGAGCGCGGGCGGCGCCGAGGCCGCCGACGGCGCCGCGCCTGCGCGGCCCGGCCAGGAGGGCGGCGGCCCAGAGGAACCGCCCGCGCCCGCCGTCGAGATTCGGGATCAGGCGTTCCCACGCGGAACTTTCGAGGATACTTTGGCGGCGCTTTCGCGGCCAGCGCTTCCCGTGGGGGCGGGGGCGGCGGATTGCTCGGAAGAGAAGACGATCTCCAACGGATGCGAGCCGCCGTGGCCCGCGACAAGTTCTACTCTCAGCGGGTCACGAGGGGCGTCGCGGGGCGCCTGCGCGGGCGGGCGGGGCAGCTTGCGCGCGAGCGCAAGCCGTTCACCTTCAGGAAACCCGACTCCGCGGACGACGCCGTCTGCCACGCCGCCCCGTGCAAGAGAAAAGAGGCCTTCATTTCGCCCGTGGAAACGCTCGCGCGCATGGTGGGCGGTGGCGCGCTCTGGCTCAACCCCTTCGTCGACAGTCGCGCCCTGGCATGCGCGTCATCGCACGGGGCCCGCCGCTCTACTCGAGGCCTCGACGTTGCTGCGAAATGCAGCCAGGGCGAGATCCACGAGCATGGAGTGTCAAAGGGACTGGTGACCACCCGGCAGGAACAGTAATCTGTGCGGAGCGTTCACTTCGATTCATCTTTGCCGCTCGTCCGCGGTCGCGCGGCCCGTCGTCGGGGCCTATCGCGTCGATTTGAGGAAGGCATCCGCGAGCGGCGACATGGCGAGCGCGGCCGTTTTGCCCAGGCAGCTCTGCGCGCGCCCGTCGCGAGGGTCATCGCCGAGAGCATAGAGATGCTTTCCCTCCTCACCATGGGGAAAGGCGACAAGGCGCGCGTCTCGCCGGGACAGTTGGATTCCTCTCCCGCGACCGCGCGAACGTTCTCGTCGGCGTTGGGGAGTTGTCGGGCGAAGACGACGCCGGGCATGCTCCTCCGCTGCGTTTTGAAGGGCAATCGGCGCGGCGGTGCCATCGCGCGCGGGGGCGCGCTGGCGTCGGCGAAGAGCTGCTGCGACAGGGTCCGCGCCGGAGCGCAGTAGGCCATGCGCCGCGTCGAGCGCCAGCGTGGAGCGCCCGAGACTTGCGAGCGCGCAGCTGTCTTCGCCCTTTGGAGCCGCATCTTGCAGGTCAACGGGGCGCCGCTGCCTCTGACTTCGTTAACCGCGTCTCGCGCGACGTCGCCTGAGTTCTCGGCGGCGAGAAGGTCGAGGCAAGTGGGGGGGCGACGGGCTCGCGGCGAAGGGGGCGCTGGCAATTGTCACGGGGCGCCGTGCGCGGCGATCGCCGAGACTTGCCAGCGCGCCTTCGTCGCGGCCCTCGCGCAGAAGCTCCCTGACCCAAGGTCCGCGCAGAAGGGGTGGGCCGGCGGGGGCTGCAGTGGGGTCGCGCTGATGGGGGGGGGCGCCTCGAAGCCCGACCAGGGGGCGGGCGACTTCCGCCGCGACTGGGCGACCGAGCAGACGGCAGAGGCAGGGCCAACGGTGGGCTGGAGCGACAACGAGCCCGAGGGCACCCGCGCGAAGATGAAGGAGGAGACCGCGGGCTGGGCCAAGACCGCCGCCCCGGCGCGCGCCTCCCGACCGCCGAGGACGCAGGGGCCGCCTCGCAGGGCCGCCGCCTCGACGCGCGCCCCTCCGCGACGACGTCAAACCGCAGGGCGGCGCATCGCCGCGCAGAAAAGGGGGGGGCTCTGAGAAGTGCATGCTGGTGCCTCCTTTGGGGGCGATGGCAGAGTCCGTCGGCCGCGTTCTCTCCGCGCGCGATCGCAAGATCTCGGGCGAGGTGTAAGTCCTCGACTCCGACTCGCAGGGGAGGCCCACAGGCTCGCGTGCATTGTTGGCGAGGATTGGGCCTTTTCGGCGTCGGCGAAGCAGATGCAGCGCGGCGGCCCCCAGGAGTCCCCGCGGTGGGGGTGGGGGGGCGAGACAGGCGGCGATTGCAAATGCGCTGCCCCGATCCATTTGACGGCGCATTTCAAGGCCCGCTGCGACTGCGCAGTCGGAGGGAAAGCACGGTTCAAAGGGTTGTGCCAGGTGGGGTGCTGCCCCGCCGAGTTCGCAGACGTTTGGAACATGGTCGTCGCTCTGCGGCTTCAGGTCGCGTTTTTGCAACCTACCGTCACCGCCGCCTCCCAGTTAGGTTTCTGGGGGGTCGCTGTCTCTTCGCGCGGATCGACGCGCCCGCGGCGGTCGACGCCGCGACCGTCGGCGACGACATTATCTTGGCGGGGAACTTGCGGCCCAGCGCAGGGCCTCTTGCGCCGTCATTCGCAACCTGCAACGGGCCGCCGCGACAAGGGGCCCAAGCTCGATGCCAAGCGACGAGCGACGCCAAGCGACGCGGGGCGCGCCAGAGGGCCGAGTCACTTGGCATCGCGAGCGGGCCCTTGGCTGCGCGCCCGCAACGCAGATCGCTCGCGCGCCCCTGTCGCGGCAGCCCCCGGCCTGCAGACCGTCGCGCGGAGGGCGGCCAGAGTCCAAGCGATCCCCCCGAGATCAATGGTTTCTGGCGCAGCGCGAGACGGGCCGAGTGAGCTCCACCCTACCCGAGGGCGCATCGCACGGCGCTGCCGGCGCTTGGCGCCGCGGCTTCGCGCGCCGACCTGCTCGTCGGCAGGGGGGGGGTGTGTTTGTGCGGCGCCCGTTAGCTCCCGCTTGCCATCGCGCTCGTGCCTCGCGCCAGTGCCCCGGCTCCCTCGTGCTCGCTCGTGCTCGCCAGATGAAAAAAGAACGCGTCTCCTGCGCTGCGAGATGTCGTCGCGCGGCGCGCTCGCGCATTTTCGCATGCCGCGCTGGCTCTTCGGCGCCGAGCGAGCGAAAGCACAGTTGGCATAAATCATCATTCGAGAGTGCTCGCGCTAGCATACACCAGTGCAAATATGACTGAGCAGGCTGTCGAACGCGCGCTGGCGTGCATGAGAAATTGTGCATCGTGGGCGACGTGCAACTGCGTCAACTCATGCTCTTGCCACGCAGTTGTCGTGCGTTTGCCGTGAAGTTGCCCTGGAGCTGCCTGCGCGGTGCCACGCTGCCATGAGTTTGCCGTTCATTTGCCATGCAGTTGCCGCGCAGTTGCAGCGTTGCTACCATGCTGCAGCCATGCAGGCGCCGTGCGGCCACCCTGCGGCGGGTGCGCCGCCGTTGCGAGCGGGGTCCGGACGGGGGGCGGGTCGCCGGATCTCGCCCGCAGCTGCGCGGCAATTGCATAGCAGGCAAGCCAGTGTTTTGGCTCGCTGCCTGGAACGGTCCAAATCCTCAATGGTTTGCAGGGGTTCGGGGGGCCAGCCTGGTCTTGGGCCGTCGCATGGATGTTGGAGGCCTCTGGGGCGATCTTTGTTCAGCCGCGCGCCAGTTCGAGAGTTTCGCCCCATGCCTGCGCGACTGAGCAGCGAGGAAAGGTTGCATGCGCCACATCGCCATGAAAGCAGAAGTTCATTGCGTGGCTCGTGCGCGTCGGCATCGCGCATGCACGATATTCGAGGCCATGAGTGCAGACTGGCAGCCATGTACTGCGTGCGCCTAGGGTGCGCACACCTGGAAGGCTGTGCGTGACCTCTGGTTGCGCGCAGCGCAAAAATCGCAATGACACCATCAACCATTAACCAAACCTGGCCAAACAACACCCACCAAAACACCGAGCGTTTCCAAAACGCAGCCAACACATGCCAAACAGTAGCCCACGCCTAACCCCAATCATCACCAGACTTGGCCGCGCAGAGATCGCCGGGCGCCGCGCGGAATTCCATTCCTGGCGCGTTCGCGCAAAGTGGGATGTCCCGAGCCGAAACGACGACGTTAGGGTCGCGCGAGATTGCGAAAACGCCGCTGGACATCTCGCGCCGCGCGAATCCAATCGCGGCACAGTCATTCCCCCGGGCCAGGTAATGCCAACCGACGCGCCGGATGTTCCAGGAAAGCGGAGGCTTGATCGCATCCGGATGCTACTTGCACGACTCCGCGAAAGGATATGACGTTAAGCAGAGACGCTGCGAGCGTTCAGCGTCGTCCTCGTTTTCCCTGGCGCGGCCCGACTAGCAGGGTTTCCGGCATTCCGCGGCCATCGGATCTGCAGTTGCAGCCATTGGCTATGGCCTCTGCTGTCGTTGCCATCTCGGCTCGAGCCATCGGCCGCCTGTCATTCGCGGGGCGCGATTTGAGCCGCGCGCGGCGCCCATAGTCACGCGCGGCGCGCGGGCGAGCCCTCTGCTTTGCGGCGCGCCCGTTGCAAGGGCAATGGCTGCGCGCGACGGGCGCTGCTTGGTGCCCTTGCTCGGGCGTGTTCGGCCGCGTCGGCGCGAGGGCGCCCGCGCGGCCGCTGTTGTAGTTCATGACGATTGCGCGCGGGCCTTAGGGGTTCAGCGCCTTGTGCTTCGGCCGTGCTCAGGTTCTGTTCCCTGCGCCTTAGCGCGTCGGGTTGCAACATGGAGCAACATCAGCATTTTTCCAAGCGCCCTTCACTATTGATTCTTAGGCTTACGCCACACCGCCGACCCCTTGTTTATGCCAATCTGGGGGTAGTAGAAGCTGCGAAGGGGTGAAAAGCGAGTTTTGGAGCCACTTGGGGGCCGTTCGGAGCCTCTGGGGTGCTTCTTGGGGGTTCCTTGGGGCGTCTGGGCGGCCTCGTGAGGGCCTCTGGGGGCCTCTTGGGGCACTCTTGGGGCCCCCTGGGGCTCCTGGGGGCAGAAAGCTAGAGTTTCAACATGTTTGGTCGCCCTCTTGGGCCCCTCTTGGTGCCGTCTTGGAGCCCTCTTGGGCCGTCTTGGGGACCTCTTGGGCCGTGTTGGGGCCGTCTTGGGCCGTCTGGAGGCCGTCTTGGGGGCCTCTTGGGCCATCTTGGGGCTTTCTTGGGGGCCTCTTTGGCCGTCTTGGAGCGTCGGGAAGCCGAAAAGGCGGAAAAGCAAAAAACATCGAAAAAACTATGGACAATCAACAAGTTTAGACTCTTGGGGTCCTCTTGGGAGGCTTGTTTGGGACTTCGGGGGCCGTCTTGGAGACCTCTTGGCCCGTCTTGGGGCCATCTTGGGCGTCTTGGAGCGGTCGTTTGGCGTCTCGGGGCCTTCGTGGGCCGTCTTGGAGCCTCTTGGGGGCTTCTCGGCCCGTCTTGAGGCCCTCTTGGGCCCGGAAAAGCCCCGTGAACCGCTCGTCCCGGCCGTGCTGCGCTCGTGCCGGACCCCCCCCCCCCTCCAAATCGACCGGACCGGGCTCCCGGGGGAGGGGTTTGGGGAGGGGGAAGCATCTCACACGCCGATGATCCCCAAGGGGTCGGCGGATTTTCGCTGCCAGTTATTTGGGCTTCTGTCGGGCCATCCTGCATGTCCTTTCGGAGGTGAATTGCATTGTTTTGGTAGCCAATTGGAGGTCCTTTGGCCATCCTGTGGCAATGTTCTGCCGCCTTGGGTGCGTTTTGGGCCGTTTCGGAGACGACTTGCGACCGTCTGAATTTCTCTTGGCGGCATTCGGGCCGCGTTGGTGGCCATCGCGTGCGTCGCGCGGGCTTGTTGGGCCGTCTTTGGGCCTTGTCGGGGCCATGAGGCCGTCGCGTGGTCATTTCGGAGGCTTCCGCGGGGATCGGGAGGCGAGTCTGGCGGTCTGAAGCCGTCGCGAGCTGGCGGAAGGCCGATCGAGACAGACTGCCCACAACCTACAACAACCGTCGGACAATCGATTATTCGGTTTCTTGTGGGCCTTCCTGTATGCCCTCTTGGAGGACTTTCGGGCCGTCTCTGAAGCCTCTCTGTTTTTTGTCCGTCGTGGACTACGTTGCGGCAGTGCTGTGTCTTTCGGGTGCAAGTTGGGCCGTGCTGGGGAAATGCGTCTGCCATTGTGGGGTCTTCTTGGGGATATTTTGGCGGTCTTGGAAGCCGTGTCTGGCGTCTGGGAGGCCTCTGTTGCCGCCTCTAGGCTCTATCGGTGCCGTTTGGGGGTCTGTTTGGGCCGTCGTGGGGTCAGTTCGGAGGTGTCTGCGACGATTCCAAGGCGCTCTTAGAGGTCTGTTGGGCCGTTTGGGGGCGTCGGAGGGCCGAAATGGAACGCGAGCCAACCGCCGTTAAACATCAATAACGCTCACCGATAACAGCCATGAGCTTTCACAAAACCTTAGGAGCATCAGCGAATATAACATATCGGGACATTTATGTAAGTCTTCGCGGAAGCTTCCTAGGCCGTCTCGGAGGCCTCTTGGGTTTTTGTTGAATTTGCTTTGGTCCATTTCGGACCAGTCTTCGTTTATTGTCATGTTTTGGGGTGGCGTATCTAGTGGCATTTGACCCATCCCATCACCGCGCTTGGGTTGTAGGTCGGAGGCCTTCCAGACGCCTGTGAGGATCTGGTCTCTCGGGGTTTCTGCGTGGCCTTTTAGATCCTCGTGGCCGCACATCAGGGGTTTATGTGGGGATTGTAGCCATTCCTAGGATGGAGGCCCCAACATGTTGGTTCGTGTTCCCCATCTAGGAAAGAGCGTGTTCTACCGCTGCTGGCGGAAAACCGGGGGGGGTCAAACCGGGGGGGGTCACTACCGGTTCGAACCCCTCCCCCCCCCCCCCAGCTCATCATGAAAAGGGGGGGGGCCACTACCGGTTCGAACCCCCCCCCCCCCCCTTCGAAAACCGAGTGGGGGTGCGGACAGTGGTGGGGGCGGTGTTGGTGGGGACAGTGGTGAGGGGAGAGCGGGACAGTGGTGGAGGGACCCTATCTGGGCTGCCGTAGGGGCCTCCCGGGAACCCCGAGCCGTGTTGGGACGATATTATGTATTACAAGGTGGGTCTACAATATGTTCGGGTCGGACGTATAGTACTAGTATGTCTCTGTGCGTCCCATTCGTAACCAATCGATTATGAAGATGTTGGTCTTTCGGGCCGCCCTCCAGGCCCCCAGGGCTTCCAAAACGGCCCAAGAAGCGCTCAATATGGGTTCCAGAACAATCCCTGGGGCCATCTGAAACGAAGTTGGACAAACATGTCTCGAACAACGCGCTCGAAGAGGATGAGGAGGGGGAGAAGGAGGAGGAGGAGGAGGAAGAGGAGGAGGAGGAGGAGGCCTCTAGAAAAATCACGCGGGGACCCTTCGTGAGCGTGGAGGAGCGCGCGGTAGCGCCCAAAGGCGCCAGGGAACGCCTGGATCTTTGGGCTGCCGGCTCCTAAGCGATATTTGCAGAACTTAGTGCAGAGAGTTCGAAGGCACCCGAGGATTCTCCAACTCGTGCCTCAGGGCACGGTGACGGTTTACATAAAGCAATGCAGAGAAGTCTTAGGGTCCTGAGGACATTCCAATCATTCCCTCAAGGCACGGTGGCGGATCTATCTGTTTATGCACTGTAGGTGTATATGAATGTGTATGTTTGCGTGTGAACTAATACGGAGAGAGAGAGTGGTATATATATATATATATATAGAGAGAGCAATCACAATCAAAAGGGAGGGAGGACGGAAGAGAAAGAGAGAAAGAGGGTGTTGAAAGTATTTCGTCGAGAAATGCGAGAAGTGAACCAAGCTAAAATAGGTGGGATAATGACCGACTGCAGAGGGTGTCTGGTGGTTTGCGGCCTATCTCGCTGCCTCGGTTGTATTGTTGAGGACTTGCGGCAAGACCGGACAGTAATGTTTGAGCGGTGTATGCATTCTATATCGCAGGTGGTTTCCGCGGGCATCAACGCTACTTACGCACCGAAATTTGTTGTGCCTAGCAAGATCGTTGGCATCCCGAAGAGCATTCCCATGGACTTCATGAAGGCCGCTGGAGCAAACATGTAGTGTACAGTGAACAGCGTGTGCCCGTGAGGAGTTGCGAATGCTTTCGCGTTCTCGTCCTCTGTCCCTGTCCCTCCCCCCGTTTTCACACGCCCCCTTTCCCAATGCATTTCCAGAGGTGGCTTCAGCTTTTTGCCTTAGAGTTTTGATTAATTTGCGATCCGAAGGCTTCAGTCGCCGTGTCCTCATACCTAGTTGCTTTAAACATCGATGCACAGGACACGAGTGTTTTCGCACACATTGCCCTCGTGCAGCTTGGTTTGTAAGTTCAGCACCTTCGCTGGTGAATAGCGAGTCTTTCCCATCATGGTGTATTATTCGTATGTCTGTAGTATCATGATGTTGCTCGTACTTTAGTCTTGGACTTGGAACAGTGACCATTCCCACAACACCATTGGAGGGCCACCCCTTTGTCCCAACCACATCAATGCATGCATATTGCAGTTGTTGCGCATTGCAGAACTGTTAGACTGCTACCGTGCGGGCCCAGCGGAAGATCGCCGTAGTGAGCATGATGTGTTGCACATCGACAGGTATGTAGCAAGCACTTTGTACCGTCGTGTTCCCGAGCCTCGAACCCTCTGACGCTGTTCGCCTGCTCGTTCGCTCGTCTCCGCGCTCCCCTGGCCTTGGCCCCCGCCTCCTGGCGCGGGCCCCGCCCCCCCGCACTGCCCTGCTGGCCGCAGCCCCCGGTGCTTCGCAGACGAGGGAAGTCTGGCCAGGCGAGGCTCCGCCAGGCTGCATCCGGCCAGCTGACATCGGCCAGGCCGAGCTCGGCTCGGGCCGAATTCAACCTGGCCTGAAGTCGGGCACGTCCCTCTATAGGAGGAGTATTCCAAAGGAGTCGAAAGACAGTCAGAGGACGATGTTCTGGCTAGTTTCTGCTATGTTTGAGCTTGGTTTTGAGCGTTTCTAATTTTTCGTGCAAGCTCCGCCTGCAGGAGGACACGCCCGACCCAAACCTGGCCGAGTTTGGCGTGGCCGACATCAGCCGGCCGATTTCAGCCTGGGTGAGTTCAGCTGGCCGAGTTCAGCCCCGCCCGACTTTCTCGTTCTAAGAACCTTGTGTTGTTTCCACGAAATGTTCTTAGAACATTTCTGGCTAGGACTGTCTTGTTTTAACGCATCGGGCCTATGTTCTGAGAACGTTGTTGTTGTTTTTAGAACATCTTGGGGTTCTAAGAACATGCCGTGGTAGGACTCTAGGAATGCCGGGACGGTCGCTCCCTGCTCAACTGTCTTTGGCCCCAGTTCCCCGTGGCCTCGAGCTCCACCTCGCCGGGCCACGTCGCCGCGTGTGTTCGCTTTGCCTCAGGAGGGGAAAAAGCACACAGACACAACTCATCGTCGACCCCCAGGAAAATATGGGCAAATACGGGAAGTGGGGGGGGTAGAACGAGAACCCAGAACATCTGGAAAAATATAAGGAATCCTGGGATCTGTGTCTGGCCGCCCCCCGCCCCCTGGCCTTGAGGCCCATTCCACAGGCCCGCGCCCTGGATGTCTCGGCTTCTCTAATGTCGGGCCTGTTCCTCTACAGGAGGAATGTCCCCAAATAGTCAAAACCTAGTCCGGGGACGATTGGCTTCGACTGTTTTAGCGTATGTTTGATTTGTCTTGGGGTATGTTTTTTTTTTGTTCGTCCGAAGTCCGCCTGTAGGGGGACACCGCGACCTGAGGCTTCTCCTCCGTGACGCTCGCGCCGTCTGGACGGGGGCACGCGCGGGAGGGCCGCGCCTGGCAAGTGCACCGGCCGGAGCACCGCACCCCTCCCGGCACCGCCCTCCCGCACGCCTCGCCCTGCCCCCCCTCTTCGGGCCGAACGAAAGGGGGGGATTGGGAAAGGGGGGGTTACGAAATCTGCTGCATGCAGCTGGTTTCGGCCCCACCGAGGGGCACATTCCTCGATACGTAGACGCCTCCGGCGCCGGGAGGCACCGGGAAAATCAGCTACGTGAGCTGATTCTCAAACCCCCCCTTTGCTATCCCCCCCTTTCGCCCGACCCGACCTCTGTCCGCCCAGCCCTTCTAAGCTGGAAACGACAGGGCCGTTTTTGCTGCCGGTTCCGTTTGTGCAGTTCTCTTCATGGTACCGACGCCCGTTTTTTACCGGTTCCGTCGCCGTTTTGTTTATCGGCTTCGGCTCTGGGGAGCAGCTTTTTTGCCGCTTCCGGTCGCCGTTATTGTTTGCTGTTTCCGTCTTGCAGAGGCGTTTTTTTTGTCAGAAACGGTGGAAAAACGGCCCTGCCGATTCGGGGGCCCACTGAGTCCTCCTTCTCCTCCTCAGCAGGCTGAGCCCGGCACCGTTTCCGCCGTCCCCCAGGACGCCTGGGTCAGGGGCAATCGCCCGCAGGCGGGCCTGGCTTTCAGACAGACGCGTTTCGAGAGGAGATCGCCACTCTTGGCGTCTGCTTTGGTGCCCCATTCGCCCCAGAAGCGCCCCTCCGTCGCTCAAACGTTTCCGGGGCCCCACTAAGTCCTGGCCCCGCCCTCCCGCACGCCTGGCCCTGCCCCCCCCCATCCGCCCAGCCCCTGCCCTGCGGACCCGCGCCCTCGCCTCGCCTTCGGCTTAGGTCGGGCGTGTCCCTTCGACAGGCGGATTTTGGACGAGAGATTAGAAACACCCAACAAATATACAAAAATATGCAAAGCTTGTAAACAAAAATTGTTGACGCTTCGCGTATCCCCACCAGCCCATCCAGAAACGATGCTCAGGGGAGTTGAGGTGATCAGGGAAGTCGGGGAGCATGCAGAATAACAAAGGGCGGGGGAAGCTGTCACAGACCCCGAGAGGGGGAGGATGGAAGAGGAGTCGTCGTCGTCGTCGTCGTCGAGGAGGAGGAGGAGGAGGGGGAGGAGGAGGAGGAGGAGGAGGAGGAGGACGGAGAAGGAGGAAGAATCGGAGGAGGAGGAGGAGGAGGGGAAGGAGCTTCTTGGGGGTCTTTTGAGGGCCTCTTGGAGGGCTTTTTGGGCGCCTTGGGGCATCTTGGGCGCCTCTTGGGACCCTCTTGAGGCGCTCTGGGGAGCCTTCGGGGCGCTTTTGGGGCCATCTTGGAGGGAGTCGATCAAACAAGAGGGGGGGTTTAATTAGCGTCCCCCCTCGGAAGCCCCTAAAATCGCCTCTTGGACCCCTCTTGGAACGCTCTTGGAGTGCTCTTGGGCGCTCTTGGGGCCGTCTTGGGGCTCTTTTGGGGCTCTCTTGGGGCCCTCTTGGGCCATCTTGGAGCCATCTCCAGGCCTCGGATGGCCATCGGAAGCGAAAAGGCGAGAAAGCAAAAATCATTGATTTTCCTTAGGTTTTGGGACGATTTTGGCCTCTTCGGGGCCTCCTTGGGGAGCTGTTTGGCCACTTGGAGTTATCTTGGGGCCGTCTTTGGGCTTCTTGGAACCATCTTAGGAGCCATCGTGAGCGATCTTGCGCTATCTTGAGCCATCTTGGAGCTCATCTTGGGTTCTCTGAGGCGCTCTTGGAGCCGTCTTGGGCCATCTTGGACGCTCTAACTACCCGCGGCCCCCCCCGTCCAGGTCCAGGGGAGGGGGTAGGGGGAGGGGTAAACCCCTCCCCAAGGGGGAAGAGGGAGGGGTGGAAGAGGATCTGCTCTAGACCACCTACGCCCAGAGGGCTGGTGGGATTGTCCCCTGATTTTTTTGATTATTTGTGCATATTCCTCCTGTAGAGGGAAAGGCCCGACTTAAGCCTCTACCCCCCACCCCCCTCCCCGGCTCGGGGGAGACCTCTGCCCCCGTCTTGCAGGGGCTGGGCGCCGCTGTGGAGTTTGAAGCGCGTCCTTGGGCCTGCGCAGCTGTGCTCCTGGAGCTGAGAGAGCCCCCCCCCCCCCCCTTCTCCTCCTCCTCCTCCTCCTCCTCCTCCTCCTCCTCCTCCTCCTCCCTCCCCCCCTCCCCCTCCTCCTCCTCCTCCTCCTCCTCCTCCTCCTCCTCCTCCTCCTCCTCCTCCTCCTCCTCCTCAACCTCTCCCGTGTGTAGCACTATATTCAGTTCTCAGGTTACGTGTCGACGGCATCTTGTGCTATCGTGTGCTCGGGGGTTCTGCAAACCAAATGCCTCTCGCAACTTGGCTCCGCTTGCCGCCCCCTCGACGTTGCAGTGCCCCTTGTGTGACGTGGCCACGGGCTCGTTTCAGGCACTGCAGAAGCACTTGATCTTTCATCTACATCCCTGTCCGCTCCCTGCGCCACCTGCTACAGATGGACGGCGCCCCGGCCTGGATGGCCAAGGTCACGAAGTCTGCGGACGATCAGGGCGGCGACAAAAAAGCCGAGGTCGTCGCGGCGGCTCGTGCCAAGGGCGGCGACATTATGCGCCAGCTAGTGGCGATCCTCGTCAAGCTGAGCTTGGCCAACAGCGCCGAGCTTCGCGACGTGTGCGGAGTCGTATACATCACCTTTCTCATCAAGTCCGACCAGCCCTCGATGAAGGCCGCGCGCGACGCAGGCCAGAGTTACCACGCCGAGGTGCAGCGTGGCAAGCAGGCCAGCGAAGACCTCTCCACGCTCGGCCCCCCGTATGTGCAGATCTGGAGCGCCCTCATCAAAGCGATCGGGACGGACCCCAGCTGCAGCGACGAGGTGCGCAAGAGCATCGAGACCTATTGGAAGGACGTGCTGGTGCCCATGCCGCTCGAGAAAGTCGGAGAACACGTTCGCCACTGCCGCGTCCGCAAAACCCGCAAGGTCGAATCGAAGGACGAGCGGATGCGCTTGACTTTTGCCGTGGACGGGGAGTACAAGCCGCTGGAGAGGACCCTGGTCACCTACTTTTCGTCGGCGGCGGTGGCAGGCGAGCGCAAGCTGGGCCCAGCTCCCCGTGGCGCGCTCGAGCGCGAGGCATCCCGCCTCCTGGAGAAGCTCGGCGAGGGCAGGAAGGAGAAGGAGAAAAAGGAACAGGAGGATGCCTGAACGTGACTAATGGAGTATTGCATGAGAATTCGATTGGCTCTCAGTCTTCTGGAGTATTGGCTTCAC